CAACTACACACACCTCTCCAGGGGGAAGAACAACAGAAATCACATGGGAAGAGAGACAGCTGTTGGTGTGAGATATGAAAATAATAACAATTTATAATCTATCAAGGGGTCATGAGGGTTGGGGGGAAGGGGAAAAAGAGGTGGTGATACCAAGGGCTCAATAGAAAGTAACTGTCTAGAAAAGAATGATGGCAACATGTGTACAAATATGCCTGATACAATTGATGTATGGATTGTAATAAGAATTATAAGAGCTCCCAATAATATGATAAAAAATTTAAAAAAAGCAAAGCCGTGTCTAAAAAACAATGCCTGAAACAGATCTAATGTAGGTACTTAATAAATTACTTTATTAATAATAGGAATAAAATCTGAATGCTTATTGTATATACACTCATCTATTTGGTTAAAAAAAGGAATCCTGCAAGTGGCTGAGTTATAACATTTGTGGTTATAATTACATAAAAAATATACAAATATACAAACAGCAAGGATTTTTTTTCTTTTAAAAAAAGAAGCATTTAACTTTGTTGAATTATAGCCTGGTCTTAAGAGTTTATTTTGACTTTTGCTTTGACCTATTTCTGGGACTTACTCATTAAAGGGTTGGTTGCAGAAGGATGATGGGGGCAGTGTCTAAAAGCTTTAAAATGAACCCACATCTTTATGTTTGGAGATATAAAATAACCTCACCTAGAGTTTAGGATTGCAAATAATCAACACCAAAAACAACACCAAACTCCTCCCAGTTGAACACCTTTTCCTACCAGAGATGTTTAATAGAATGTAGAAACCTCAAAATCTTCAAAATGCCCCTATCCCTATCCCTATAAAGAGTACAGTCTTATTTCCATGAGGTCTTAATAGATTCATGCACTTTTTTCAAGTCCCCTTAATTCCTAAAAAGTTTTCATGGGGTTATAATTAAAGAGTTTTATAATTATCACTACAATCCTAAAAAGCTTTTGTTGATTAAAAGAGCAATACCATTTACAAAAACTACAGACAAGATACAATAACTACACAAATGGCAGATGAGTTAGTTATTTTATTGTGCCTTCCTGGCCGATAAACACATGTGGGATTAATTGAAGGGCAGAGGGACAAATGACTTGGTGAGCCTTGTCTTTCTAGTTCTGGGGTTTCTTGCTTTGTGATGGTCGCACCAGGGTGCAGCTGCCTTAGCAGTTCCCTGCTTCAGCTTGCAAGGCTGACTTCCTGCAAGACATCCCCAAGGAGAAGCCACATGGACCTACCCCGATGCTGTCCTGGGTGCTGGAGCAGCAGTGTGGAGACCCCTGCGAGTGCAGACATGCTTACACATTCACTGACTTGGCTTTCCTCCTGGAGTCGGCATCATTACGTCTATTTTGTGAGGAGAAGGAGGACTTTGTGGATTGGTGTTGGACATATGGGTTAATGTTGAACTTGTGGGCTTGGGCAGCACTGGGTTGGAAAATTTTCTTGATGCGCACTTAACCATATATAAAACTCTCTCTTATACATGAGTTTCTGTGGATTTCTCTAAAGTACCCAGACTAAAACAGTGGGATTCATACCAAATATTCCAGGATGGTTTAATACTAGATAAACAATCAATGCAATTCTCCACATAAACAAAATAAAGAAGAACCATATGATTTATCAATTACACAGAAAAGTCATTTGATAAAATTCAACATCCATTCCTGATAAAAACACTTAATAAAGTAAGAATAGAGGGGAAATTCCTAAACACAATAAAGGCCATATATGTGAAGCCAACAGCCAGCATCTCACTTAATAGAAATTGAAAACATTTCCCCTTTGAAGGGAAACCAGTCAGGATTGCCCTTGACAACCACTTTTACTTAATATACTCCTGGAAGTTTTTAGCTAGAGATATAAAACATCAAAAAGATATTAAAGGCATCCACATAGGCACAGAAGAAACAAGACTTTCCTTATTCACAGATGATATAATCTTATGTATAGAAAATCCCAAAGATTTAATTTTTAAAATTGCTGGAACTGAAAATGTTAGCAGCATAGCAGGCTCTAAGATAAACATACAAAAATCAGTTGTATTCTTGTATATTGAAGATGATAATACTGAAAAAGATATTAAAATATCAATGCCATTTACAACAACTATACAAAGATAAAATGTTTAGCAATAAATCTTCCCAGAGAAGCTAACGACTTATACAAGGAAAACTACAAACCACTCCTACAAGAAACTTATGCAAATGGAACAAGCTACCATGTTCCTGGATAGGCACATTAAACGTTGTGAAAATGTCAATATAACGAAAAACAGTTTACAAATTCAACATAATTCGGATCCAAATCTGACCACAGTTCTTCAAAGAAATATAAAATCTAATCACCAACTTTATGTATATGGAAAGAAAAGAAACCCAGAGTAAGTAAAACACTATTTAAAAATAAAAACAAAGTAAGAGGCCTTTCACTCCAAGACTTTAAAACATAATCAATTTAAACCGGTAATCAAAACAGGCTGGTGCTGGTCCAACAACAGATATAAAAACCAATGAATTAGAATTGAGAACTCAGAAATACAACCAAGTAAGTACCTACAGACAATTTCTGATAAGAGACTAAAACACATTAGCTGGGAGTTAGCCTTTTCAATAAATGGTGCTGGAAAAAAAAAGGATCTTTACCTGAAAAACAATGAAACAACCAAGTGTGGTGAAGATATTAGATGGTGCCCAGCTATCAGAACGCATGGCATCTGGGCTTTGTCTTCCAACAAGCAGCCATTAAATAAATGAGACATCGAATAAGCCCACGTGGAAGAAGCACACCAACATCCATGATTCAAGGACTGTAAATTATATAATCCAAATTTGAAGGAGGGAATAGTATGAGTTTAAATTGTGAGATTCTAGGATGCAGAATGGTATGGATGACAGTGGAAGCCCAAAATAGATTATCAGAATCCACACAGGGAATAAGTGATTTCCCTCTGACCATAATTGAGGGATGGGAATAACCTGGTTATCAGACAGAGTGTTGGAGAGACAACTAGTAAACTGAAATGATAAATCTGACTTCGTTAAAACCTTGTGACTTGATTTTCTTTTTTATTCACTTTGTGCTCAATCTGGTTTAAATATTTTGGCGTTTTTTTCACATTGGGGTTTATCTCTGTTATATTTTATCATTGTTTGGCAGCCTTCATGACTCTCTGTTATATTTTTCTATGTTTTTTGGTATATGAAACCCAGGACAGGTGAAATCTATAGTAACAATAACTAGAATAAGGGTTCCTGGGGGTTAAGATAGGGGAGTAAGGGATGGGGGTGGAGACATACCATCAGCAGCGCTGATACCAAAGAGTTCAAGAAGGAAGAAAATGTTTTGAAACTGATTGTGGTAGCGATTTTACAACACTGCATGATATGACTGAACTACAGAATGGTATGATGTCTGGATTAGCTCCTAATTAAATGGTTTGGGGGGAAAAGAACGAAACAGGTCCCATACCTCACATTATATACAAAAACAAACTCAAGATGAATCAAAGACCTAAATATAAACCACACAACCATAAAAACCATCAATGAAAATCAGGGACATGCTTAAGGGCCCTAATGCAAGGCATAAACACACTGCCAAACGTAATGAAAAATAGCCACACTACAGAAGATAAAATAAAGAACTGGGGTCTCCTAAAACAATGACAGTTATGCACATCAAAAGAGTTTAAAAGAGCCACATATTGGGAGAAAAAATTAGTACTGATGCATCAAATAAAGTGCTAAACTCCAAAATTTACCGAAAACTACAACATCTTAAGAAGAAAAATACAAATTGCCCAAGCAAAAATTGACCACATTGATAATTTACCAAAGATGACATAGAGGCAGACAACAACCCTATGAAAAAATGTTCATGTTTATTAGCAATAAGACAAATACAGACTAAAACAATGAGAAACCACCTCACACTGACACCTTTATCGATCACTAAAACATAAAATAATAATAAAGAGGCAGACAACAACCCTATGAAAAAATGTTCATGTTTATTAGCAATAAGAGAAATACAGATTAAAACAATGAGAAACCACCTCACACTGACACCTTTATCGATCAATAAAACATAAAATAATAAAGGAGGGATGCAGAGATATTGGAACACTCATACATTGTTGATGGGACTGTAGAATTATACAACTACTAGGGAAACCAGTATCGTTCCTCCTCAAACAAATGCAAATACAATTACCTTATGATCTTGCAATCTCTCGACTGGGTATATACCGTTAAAAAAATAAAGAATAAAGCACAAACAGACATCTACACACCTATGTTTACTGCAGCAATTTCCATAATAGCAAAAAGCATGGAAACAATCCAAAACGCTAATTGTAGAGGTGTGAAAAAACAAACTGGTACATGCATACAATGAAATATCTACGTCAATTAAAAAAGGAATACTCCTGTGAACACCCAAGACAAGGGCAAAGCTAGCCAACATTCTGCTTAGCAAAGTTAGTCACTCTTAAACAGATACAAAATTAATGACACCACTAGAACAAGGAAGAAGAAAAGTGAGTTTTACACCAAAAGATAAGACTTTGGAGACAATGCCTCCGCCAGAAATAAGGGTGGGGGCAAGGGCAGGGAGAGAGGAGGGAAAGGAAATTATGAAGGGAGGATGGACAGAAGTTAAAAAGAGAAAATCACATTTATGGAAGGTTTAATGGGATTTTTATTATTGATTTCATTTATTAATAGGGGTTGTGCAACTATATAGAACATGCTTCTTATAAACCAACATAAATATATACGTAAATAAATAAAAGCAAGAGCAAAGGATCACAGCCTTCAAAAAAAAGCCCTCCTGATTCCTTACCCCTCAGATCGAAATATTGGTCTGAGTGACTAAAAGAAGGAGGGAAAGTAAAATCGGATTTAGGGGTCTTCAGTGATAAGCAAGTTCATTCCAAATATATGAGAAAAAAGACTGTGCTCAAGAAAATAACTTACCTCATGTGCTTATGCAGTGCGTATGCTTCAATCAGAGAATGTACCATACTGGCCTAAAAAAAGCAGCATCCAAAAAAAAAAAGGCAGAAAATAGTCTGTGCTTAATTTCTCTTAAAAGTGTAATTGAGCACAATCCTATGTTCTCATCCTCTTGAACCTACACTTTAGACAATGCAGGCGTTGTCGAAATGGCTAAAGCGAAAACACCAGACCTTAATTCATCTTTCTCCTCCAACTTCTTCCACACGACTTCGGAGATTCTCAAGTAATAAGACAAACCGTCCTCTCTGTGCCAACCCCTCCCGTGTGCCCCCCACCCCACCTGTCCTTTGAGACCCCGCCGATCAACGCTGCTCTCAGAGAACACTTCCGCCACCCAATAGCACTTCACGATTTGTCACCAAGATTTTCCCAAACTCGAAAATCCTCTGCGCTTCCAAATGCCGCCCCACCCCCACCCCGACACTGCCCCGTCGACTGCCTCCATGGCCGCCCGCCTCCACCAAAAAGCCCACGATTTTCCGGCCCCAACTTTCTCACCCGTTTGGGGACTTTCGATAAGGAGTCGCACTTCCTGACATACTCAGGACTGTAGATGTAAACCGGGGCCGGCGCCGGCCCGCCATCCTCAGACTCCTCCATCTTCCACTGGCAATCCTTCCGTTAAGATCCGGCTCTTCTCAGACTCAGTTCGAGCCAAGTTCCTGCTCCTGTGAACAGGCGCAGGTGCTCTCCGGTCAACATTCCCTCCTATTCCTGAGCTCTCCGGAAACACTCTCCCCGCTCCCCCGCCAACTGGGAGAGAGGAGGGGAGCTGCCTCCGTGGAAACCGTCCAGTCCAAAAGAAGGTTTGGTGGCTATAAATTTTTGAAAGCCTAAATAGTTGCCCAAAGGGATCGAAATTTACAGCAAAAATAAGTCCAGTCAAAGCTAACCATCCTTGTTGCCCAACGGGGCTATTTGTGATTAGGTCAAACCACCTCCAGAGCATGCTGGGAGATGTAGTTTCCAGTAGTTTGAGGAAAGGCAGAGTCGAGGCTTGCCGCCAATTTGATTTTTAGGGCTGAAAAACATAACCTCGGCTCTTTATAAAGTCCTTGCAAATACATACTTTTAAATACTTAAAGATGTAGCTATTCATGAGTTCACCATCACCTATCTCTATCAGCTGTGTCTTCCAATGACGAACTGGGGGCGGGGGGAGAAGGGGGGAGCCGAGGAGGGAGAGAGGAGAGGGGCAGACAGGATTAGCTCATACAAGGAGTCAGGAATCCCAGTAGCCAAGTAGGACCATAGTTAAGCGCTGAGCTGCTAACCAAAGGATGGGCAGATTGAACCCACCAGCTACTTCACTTACTTTGCTTCTAGAGAAAAAGATGTGGCAGTCAGTTTCCATAAAGTTTATAGCCTTTGAAACCCTGTGAGGCAGTTCTGCTCTGGCCTATAGGGTAACTATGGTTTGGGTTTTCTTTTTGTTTAATAAAAGATATAAACGACTTTTTAAATTTACATAGTAAATCCTCGTATTAACAAAAGTTCATCAGTTCTCATCATATGGTTGTTAACAATTTCAAATACTTTACTCTGGCAAAGGTTTCCCAAGACACTGACAGGTTCTGTGGAAATGGATCAGTATGTACCCGGTTTCCCCCAAAATAAGACAGTGTCTTATATTAATTTTTGCTCCCAAAGATGCG